TAAATACTTCAAAGTATCTTAGATACTTTCAGGTACCTGAGATACATTCATATAATTTAGTTACAGTATCTAGATACCGATGTCAAGTATCTGGGACTTAAGATACTTTTTATGTGAAGTAACAATTTACGCATAGTAATAGTTACTTTTTGTTAGAAGTAACTATAATGTAACTAGATACTTTTTGCGAGTATCTTTTACAGGTCTGCTAGGCGGTATGCAGTGTCCCCTCATGAATAATTTGCTTTTAAAATATTCTCCTCATTTACAATCGAATAACCAATCAAATTGAGGTTGAATTGTCGTGATATAACCGCCCTTACCCGGGTCCCGGTGGAATTAAAAATGCGAGTCGTGTTTTAGAAATATATGTCTTTAATGAAAGGGATACGTTGGTTCAGTAACCTTATGAAGCAATGCTTTTAGCGGGCTTCCCGATTTTCTTTTATATAGCTACGCCCGCATACTGCACTATCTCAGTTCTACACCTAACAGAATTTCACTAAAACCAATAGATGTAATGCAATTTGTGAAAGAGTCATAAATTACTTATTGTATTTGGTTACATGAGAAAGGAGGAATGTACAAAAACACTCATTTTCGTCTTCGCGGTCGTACCCAAAGATCGACTAAGTTTGGGAGATTTGATTGGTCTTAGTTCTAAGTTCTACAATAATTATACATGTTTCAAAACTAAAGTGGTTAAAAAAGGTTTATGGGGAACAATATTAAATTTCAGGATGCATTATTAACGAGCGACAAAAAGCGAGTCCATGATTTTGGACTGTCCGTCTGTCTGTACTCTGTGTACATGATCACTCAGGATCGGTTTCGAATTTTCCAATTCTGTTTTTAGTAATATGTAGACAATGCTCAAGGGACTAGCTGATTAAATTTTGGTTAATATTCAAATAGATATTCCCTACTCGTATAATGGATTTGAACGTAACTTCTGAATACAACGAGGAGTACAAAGTATTTGATTTCAGAAAAAAGCTGTAAATTACATTTACTCGAAAACGGTAAGACCTATCACTAAAATTCTTTCACCAAAAACTTTTGGTGACTATCAGCTACAATTCGTACGATACATGTATAGAGATTCCTCAAATAATAAAAAAGTTTCTCGCAGAGTGAAGTTTACGCTTCTCAATAATCGATTTATCGACTTTGATGGCAATTATGATAATGTAGTTATATCATGTTTTCGATGTAATAGGCATAGTTAGAAGCGCTTACTATTTGGCATTATAGAACTGAAACAATTATAACAATATCTCGTGCGGGAGCCGAGATATTCCGGAGTAAATCTCTAAAAACATAAATTTTTATGAAGACACTTTTGAGTGGTTTTTTGACTATAAAAAATGTCATGACCACCGGAAAATGTCGTAAAACGCCATTTCGGATGAAGAATTACAATATCTACATACTCTACTAGGTCTGATCTTGTTATACCTTCAAAAATTTTTGTCACATTTCTAGACGACTTTTTTGCCCGATTTCGCTCCACTATAAGACGATTTTAAAAAGATGAAACGCGAATTTCTGGAAAAACGCTCTTTTTCGAACGTAAGTCTGCCATTTTTGTTAACTAAACAAAAATATGATTGCTTATTGAAAAAAGTGGTGGGTAGGTAGATTTACAACTACAAAAAATGAAAATCACACACGAACATAGGGGTTAGCAAATCTATTAACTTAAAATAGAGGTCTGACGATCTTGGCGGCCACCTTACTGGGCCCCTACGGCCAATCCATGAGTCCGGAAACCTTCCATCAAGATATTCCCGAGCGGAACGGCTACAGGTACATTTTCATGAGTTCCGCCAAGTCGTTACAATGGACCCTTAAATAGCGGTTACCGTGTAAGGATCCCTCGAAGAAGAAAGGACCCTGAAGGTTCAGAGTATAACGTGTTTAATGAAAAAATAAGTACTTTCCAAATCTGCAATAAAGTAGGGGGTGTTCCATAAAAAACCGCAAATTTGATAAGCCACTGAAATACAGCACGCTCCTGGCGATGAAAAATGTTTTAGAAACATGGCGACGATAATTGTGTACAATTTTGCTCTAAGACTTTTTTCCGTATCTTTTATAGTAAAGGAATTATGATCCGAGGGATCTTAGATGCTACACTCTGTATATTAAGTATTTTTGAATTGTGAATGGTGCATTCATTAAAAAAGGTTCATTTCAATTTTTAAAATGGGATTACTTGTACCTATACAGGGTGTTCCTAAATATGATGTAAGTACGGAAGGTGCTAATTTCATGACTAAAAGTTCATATAAAAATAGGGCCGCAAACGCTTCGTTATCGATGTACATTGTAAGTTTTTTCTTTATATTTCTTGCAGCTTTTTAGAGATTTCGCTCATATTTGAAAGAAAATTACGCTGAATGGCTTAGATAATTGGTCAAGTCAATGGTAGTGAGTATATACAGAGTGTTGATTTTTCAGGGGTCATGTTCCATTTTCTACCTCTGAACTTGATACGTCACTGTGAAACGAGAACTTACTTGTCTGATTGGTTTAGAAATGTTAGAATAAAAGTACGTATCTATAGTCTTTAAAATGGTCTAGTAGGTTCTGGTTTCATTTGGTTAATATCTTGTTTTTATTAGTTTTGGCAGCTGTTGGCATTGAAAATTATATCTTATTGTGTTTGCATAAGTTTATAACTTAAAGGTTTAAATATTGTAAAGTGTACGGTAGAACATCCTGTAGATCGGTAACGAAGCGTTTTTATTTATTTTATTTGCCTCCTAAAACTAAAATATGATGGTGACAAACGTAAAGTACATATTTTGGTAGCTCCCAGTGTTTGTTGTATTTTCTGCAACCAATTTAGTGACCGTGACCTCGCCGTGACGGTGCGATTTTGTGAAATGCCAGTGAAGTTTTTCAAAATTAAAAAAATTAGACAAACGCAGATACACGAAACCATGAAAATAGAAAAACAACTAATTGGCAATGTCATTTCCGAAATGTGATAATATAATGCTATTGGTTAAGCTTCCATGTTGAGCGGGGTTGGAAGGGGAAATTTAACCTTTTTTAAATCTTGTGATATAACGAAAATTATACAAATTTCGGGTTATAACTCGAAGGGTTAAAATGTTAAAATGCGGGTGCAAACTAGTGCCGTAGCGAGGGGGGGGGGACTTTTTGAAGGATTTTTAAGCAGTCCGTGGTAGAAATCAATGTGTTTTGTCATTCATTTAAGCCTTAAGAGATTAAACTTCTTCCCGCACACACTTTTCCCTTGGTATGTATAATATTTTCATCCCTTTAACGAATTGCTTGTAGCTTAGCAAAGGACACTTACCCCCGGTCATAAACCCCTATCCATTAACCCCCCGACAAAAACCCCCGGGTGACAATAACCTCCGCATAAATAACTCTAGGACAGTAAATAACCCCCGAACAAACTTGATACCTATGCATTCCTGGAAAATTAAGAAAAATAACCTAAACCTTGAAATAACCTAGTGTCCAACACTGCGGGGTGTCACCCTTCTGGTGAATTTCTTAAGAATTTTTGTTTGCTTTAGAAAAGGATCCACATACACATATCTACAAACTGTAGAACATGCCATAGGGGGTTTTTGTCGAGGGTTATTGTCTTCCAGGGGTTAATGGGTTTATCGTTCTGTATCGGAGAGGTATTTTATTTAGTTTACTGTCAATCTTGGTTGAAATATCAGGCGTGAAAGTTGATCGCATGGTGGCTGCACGCTTTATACTTCCCAGAGAATGAAATATTCCAAGTGAAGTTAAAGTGAAAATTCGCAGTACTAAATACATACATATTGAATTCATGCTGATTTGTCAATAGCTGGAGCTGAATATACAGTAGCACAATAAAATTAAGGTTCGTTGTTGGTTCAGCGTATAACAAACATATACTAATCGTATGGAACAAGTGTATTAATTTTTTGAGCCATATTTCCTGTAGAAATAAACTGATATAGTAACATGAATTATAGAATGAAATTACTGCGCCCTGCAAGAACCAATGATCGTATATCCGTAGTTTTTGTCCTTATTTTTTGCTAGTCAAGGAAATTGTGTAGAAGTGGAACATTTAACTTTTCGAAGGTCGATAGGCTAACATTTTTCTGATGATTTTCTTCTTATTTTACAAGATATAGCAATCAGTATAGTTTCCACTCGAGTCTTCATAAACTACGCTATTGGCCAAAACCTAGGCATTTACAAAACACCTTTTAACACTCGACTTGCTGCTAAAAGTCACTTTTTCGATTGTGAATAATTAAAAGGTGTTTTGAGAAATCAAGCCTATTTTATATCAGGAAATTTTAATTTTCATGACAGAGGCAGACCAGACTACTTTTCCTGCCGCCTGCCACTTTACCGGCAGCACCTGTCACATTGCTAAATGTCTACAATGAGACTGACAGATTGACATTAGTCAAAAGCGCTATATGAAAATTGAAATTTTATATTAAAATACGATTTCGGGTAAAATTTAATACGTGACTAGAAAATTAAGTACTCGACCCTAAAGGGGCCTCGTGCTACAATGTTTCCTCGCCAGTAACGTATCATTTTCCTGATTTTTATGTAAATAACTATTTCCAAAGGAGATCAAAGATTTTTTATTTTTCGTGCTCCAGACAACACCATTCATGTGCATTTCAGTCTAATACATCTGTTGGAATTAAAGGCTCTTTGATGCCTTTGTAACTTTTGAGGTAAAGAGCCACTGAGTTGTAGTAAATGGATTGTTTTAAATCCTTCCTTGAAATATTTTGTAAGGTGTTAGATTTACGTAGAACCATAAGAGCATTTTATTAGTTTATATCCGAAAAACAAATGATAATCCCAAGAGAGTTTTTTTGGTGCACAAGACTTTAGACAGCAACTTTTGGGTGCATCTGTTACGTACACATGTGAAACCTGTCATTGTATGTGTCACAGATAGATTTTTTTTCTATAATAAGCGTATTTTTTTACACGACATTTTTTTTCAGCGTGAGTGATGGTTTTCTTTCTAAAAGCAAAAGTCAAGGTGTAGTACGAGATGAGGAGGAAACCAGAGCATCCGGAATTAGACGTTCCCTAACAAATGCAGCGATGCCACAAAAAATAGCGGAACTGCAGGCGAAACTTCAGCAAAGCGGCGATACCGACTGGCGAAAACGCATACCTAAACTTAACAACGCCAACGAAGAACTTAGTCTGCTCAACGTGAAAAACATCTACAATGTAAGTAATTTAATAACTTTGACATTACGTGGTGAAGAGTGCTAAAAATGAAATACCACCTCTAACATTATTTCCGTACGTTTGCGTAGTTTATCAGCGTAGTCATATCGCGGTTCATTTCCATGCGAACGTTTGATTAGGCAGTATTTAGATGTGGTTTTATTTGGATTTGTTTGCCGTGCTGGCCGCGCTTACCACATGTGTAGTTTTACGTTTTTTGCTGAAGGAGGAACTCACGGAGAAGACGTCGATTTTGGCGGCGAGGAAGGACGAGTTGGACGCGGCGTCAAAGCAATGGAAAAATCGCGTAGAGCAGTCCGATGCTGTTAATTTCTCCGTTGCTGGACGCATGCAACAGGAGAATCACTCACCCGCCATTCCCATCAACATATCGGCGCTGATTAAAACCAAGCGAACACCTGTGGCGAAGACGTTCAAAGGAAAAGAGAGTAAGGCAAATGTTTTATTGCGTTCCATCTCTATTGGTCGATGTTATGCAGGTGGTGATGTCACCAACGACTGTACTTCTCTACCGTCATCTCCAGAAAAGAATGATTCCTCCACAGTCAAACGAAGCATCTCCCTGCCAGGTTCTAGAGATACAGATTCAGGTTTGTCACAATTACTACCGCGCGAGTTCTCATCTTAGACCCTTTCAGGCGCGCAAGAAGTATCGGTTACGTCGAGCCGAAGAGTACAAGTTGAAAGACCCGACAATATTACATTTACGAGTTTCTTCGAGAGCTTAGATTCGAAGAGGACCTGGATCATACCTGACATCTCAGTGGACGATTTCGATGTGGTCGCGAGGCAGTCCGGAGATCTTCTTGGTCAAAAGCGAACGGTGCGAGTTCAAAGACGAAGGGAGGCCACGAAAAATCCTCTTAAGGCGCTTGCTGCTCGCCCCGACATTTCGTACGAGTACACGGAGGTGAAAACTGGACTTGCCGAACGGGAGATGCAGCGAATAAATGTGGAGAAAAGTATGTTATTAAAGTGTTAATGTAGCTTTACGCATTGCTGTAATAAATGCATGTTGATTTGCTTATTTCACTAAATTGCTTGCGGCTCCCCCGATTTCCTCGCATGATATTTTGATCTGCAGATATTAAAAAATGTCACGTCCTTTTTTGAGTCATGTCACTTTCTTGACGAAAAATTAAAAGAAACGCTCTATGACACACCTTTTGGTTGCCTTTTTTTTATTGACTACCAGGACATCTTCTTTGCGCTTCCTTTCTTCACACTCCGATCATCCTTTCTTCCTTTTTGTTTCAATCCTCATTTTCCCTACTCGTTAACTCATTAATTGTTCATAACCTTGATGGAAGTTGCACTTTCAGCAAGTCATCATCTAATTACCTACACAAGCACGCAAACCTTTAGATGTTGTCTTGTAATTACAAGCTAACGATTTTTTTCGTAAATTTGTTTAGTTGCAAAATCATCAAATTTCGCCATAGAAGCCTTAGCGGGACTTGCCAGCAAAGAAGATTTCAGTTCTTTCGCCTTAAAACGTTCAACGTCACTGAATTCGACCTACCCTCCATTCACAGACTTGATGCTGCTCCAAGTTAAAGGCAGGCGTTTTGTACAGACAAGGTTAGTGGAGCCGATCGCGGCGTCTATCAACGAAGGGGATTGTTACATCTTGATTACCTCGAACGCCATTTACAACTACATTGGGGCGTACGCCAACGTCATCGAGCAGTCACGTAGCGCCGATATCGTGAATAGCATCCAACGTCACGGCGATCTCGGCTGTAAATGCGATCAAATCGTCACGATTAACTCGAAGAAGATCTCGAGCTGCAAGGAGGGCGATCTCGATAAGTTCTGGAAACTACTGGGAGCAAATTCGGACGTTTGTGTCACTAAAGCGGGGCATCCAGACGAAGACGAGATCTACGAGACGTCAATATTGGGAACGAATATGATTTACGAGTACAGGAATAACGAATTGATACCTTTGGATGTTTATTGGGGCGCGATGCCGAAGATTGAAATGTTAAGTCCGTTTAAAACGTTCGTCTTCGATTTCGGTAGCGAAATGTACGTGTGGAGCGGAAAAAGTGCCTTGCTCGAAGAGAAGAAGAAGGCAATCAGGTTGGCCCGCGAGTTGTGGAACGAGGGTTACAATTATGCGGATTGTGGGATTAACCCTGTTAGCGTTTCTCTTATCCTGGGCGCGCGGGATTGTAAAACTGAAGCTTTGAGCGCCACTTTTCGGCCTAAATGGACGTTGTTTGCTAAACTAACGCAGCATAGAGAAACAGTATTATTTAAAGAGAAGTTCGTGGATTGGCCGGACTACAGTCGGGTCATTAGGGTGAAACAGGACGGTGACGATAAACAAATTGAGGCGAAGTTTGACTTTAATCCATGCGACATCGAAGAAATGCTCGTTGACAAATACGTGGAGCCAGACTTGGTGGTTGACGGTCTGCATTTGGGGCGCGGAATTAGCTTTTATGACGAAGAGTTGAATCGTATGTGCAATTTTTCTACGCGTTCAGTTAGAACCTGGGTAATTTTTGATTATTCTCACGAAGAACTCTCTAGTGAATCGATCGGTCAATTCCATGACGGTAATAGCTACATCGTTCGATGGGAGTACTGCGTTAACACTACCGGCCGTGGTTTAAGCGGAAAACCTTCAAAACATATGCAGTCCGGCCGAGATTTGTGCCTATACTTCTGCTGGCAAGGTACCAACGCGACCGTTAACGAAAAAGGAGCCGCGGCGCTTCTCACCGTTCAGTTGGATTCGGAAAACGCGAGACAATTAAGAGTGATGCAAGGCGCCGAACCTCCCGTATTTCTCAACTTATTCAAAGGCAACATGGTTATTCATAGCGGAAAGCACGAGAAACCCCCCAGTCGCACACACCGTCTGTATATATGCAGGGGGGAAATAGAATTAGAAAGCTTCCTAACTGAGGTACCTTGCAGCATGCGGTCTCTCAGAAGCAGATCGTGTTACATCCTGGTCAGTTGTAAAACGGGCGAAGTTACCGTATGGAACGGTAGTAAAAGTTCTAGTCAAACATTGTCAGTCACCCGAAGGGTGGCGGAGAAAATAATCGAAAATCTCCCGCGAGAATTTCAATTCTCGTCCAACTGCGACGCATTCAGTTTAAATATGATCGAAGAGAATTCCGAGACTAAGGAGTTTTTGCAAGCTTTAGGAGGAGAGAAACGTCAGTTGTATGTGTCTCTGTCCAAAAATAATGAAGTCTTCAATTTCACCCCGAGATTATTCCACCTCACCAGTCTATCGGGAAAATTCGAAGGAAAAGAGCTGGCGTGCCCGCACCGAAGCAACCACATTACCCCCTACCCTTACCTACAAAATGACTTATACTCCGTTAGTCAACCAGGTACGTTGTTTGCGTTCGAGAATCGATTAATTGATTAAGTTCCTTAGCTTTATTCATGTTGGACAATATGTATGAAGTTTGGTTATGGCATGGCTGGTGGCCTGAGGTCGAAAGTGACAGCATTCTCGCCGATCAAACTGGTTCAGGCGCCATTCGCTGGCAGGAAGAGCGCAAAGCTGCAATGCAGACCGTAGTTAATTACTGTAAGCGCGACGCGAATGAAAAGAAAATACCGGCGTATTTGGTTTGGGCCGGCTTGGAACCACTCGCATTTACTAATCTTTTCCCATTTTGGAGAGACTGCGACGAGGTGACCGAGCTAAATATGCAGGTAAGTTTTTCGCAAGTTTGTTCCCCAAAAATACTATCTTATAGTTATGATTTGGATCTCATAGTCATTTAAATGGACACGTTTTGTGGGTGCTTGAAGTCCTTGAACCCTACTATCTTAGTGACTATCTGCCGCTGTGGTCCACCATTAGCATTACTAACCCCGCGACCAGCGCGATTTTTTCTATCGTCAGGAAATGGTGTATAAAGGCCAACGGCGGGGCGTATCGCGGTGAAGCACCTTTTTCGCTTACATTGAATTAAATAGGCAATCACTCACTCAAGCGGCGCAGCGAATCGGCGTATGAAATTAATGAAAGCGAAAAAGACGCATCGTCGCGCATAAGTGCGCGCCGGCCTTAAATCTTGGAAGCCAGAGCATGGATGGGAATGCGGGAACTCGCACGTGAGTCAAGGTCTTCTAGTGATTCTGAATTTTTTGGAAGTGGATCACCAAATTTCCCTAAGCCTCGAAAAAGTTTCAACCCTTTTCGCTCACTTTTTCTTATACATTCTAATGTTCCTTTATAACAGCCCTTGCGTTCGTAAAAATTTGATTTTGTTGCCGTCCAGAGTTTGTCTCCTCGACATCCCTTAATCTTAATTTTAGTTATGGGTAGTCTTGACTTAATTTTTTAAGTCAACCCATTTGCAATGTGTTTGTTTACATATTAAAATTGGTAAATAATGTATTTCATTGGGTAAACAGATGAGCGAAGGTTGACCGTGATCTTGTACCACTACAAAAATAGTACATCAAAAAGCTTTCACGGCTTATATGTCCCTTTTCGGTCCCTTACTTACCCACACGACAGAACTTTGTAAAAAAGATACCCTTATCCTCATCCGATGGGAGAGAAAGAGTCTAATTTGCTGTCAGTTACCTTTGTGACAATCTTGGGATAGTGAAAATTAATTTATTGTGTCAGATCCAAAATTTTTTCGAAAACGAATCGACCGATTTTAATAAATAAAACTTCAAAATAAGCCTTACTCTGTTCCCTTTGCTAACCATACAACACTAAATTTACATTTCGCTAGGATGGGCGAAAACCTGGAGAGATCATAGCTGTAGAAAAGGAACTGGCACTACTTACCAGATCGTCCTACCCACTCGAGCAGCTTTTGCAGCGTCCCTTACCCGACGGCGTCGATCCTACCCACCTAGAAAATTATTTGTCCGCCGAGGAGTTTTCGGAATTAATGTCCATGACCTTGGACGAGTTTAAAAAACTTCCGACTTGGAAGCAGACGTCAGTAAAAAAAGAAAAAGGTCTATTTTGACCTCTGTTTATATGTTTTTTTGATTATATTTTGTGTTTTAAACGGCCAAACCCTGTACTGTTCAGGACGTGAAGTCGGAAGTGAGGTTTGCCGCATGTTTTAAGTACGTGTAATAAAATTTGAAGCTTTTTTTAATTCGTAAGTGCCATTAATCGTACAAAAAAAATATTAATTCGCTTCCTTGTTTTGTAACCACCTTTTACTTTGTATTCTGTGATTCTCTCTAGTGTAAGTGTTTTTTTGGCACAAAGTTTTGGTGATATGTGCTTTAAGTATTTGTATCTCGACTGATACCACAGGGCTTTAAGTGTTTCTAATATGTGTATATAGTTTGTAAATTGTAATGATAGGATTTGTGATCAACTGAGTTACACATTAAAGTCAATTGCCTTGTAAATTGTTGGTCTTGTAAATAATATTTTTGTACAATCTCTCGTGATACGCGTGCACGAAAATTGTCAAGTTCGAACTAGAGAATTAAATGCACTTCTTATAAAAAATACTGCCATCTGTATATTTCCTTATTGTACTTAATGCACATTATACTCCCTTATTTATTTGTATGTCGTAAAAAATTGGTATTAACGCATTTATTGTTAATTAGGACCATTTTGGCGCATTTTGGATAATTACCGTGCCTTGGAGGTTCTTCGGCATTGAAAATTTACATTGAATTCTCTTTTTATCGTAATGAACAATATAACTTTTGTGATTTGTCTTATAGACAAGATAAATTTTGTATGTATCTCATGTAGCTCTTTAATAATAACTTAAATTAGATTTTGTACTAAACCTGTATTAGACCTAGATCGTTGTGTAAATTGTTGCGTGTTTTGTATATAACTTTTAATGAATTGAAATTTTACATAAAATTGTTCGCTTTTTCATTGGTTGCAGTAAACGGTAGTATAATGACAGCACAATTTTAAAATGGAACAGAACTGTGATTGAGGTATGTATATTAACAAAATTCCTTATTTATTTGAAAAGCCTATCTCTGGAATATAATATTGTCCAAATGTACTCCATGGATTCTTACGGTGGCCCTGTTGTTCAATAGACATCTGTCGATTGCGAAATATTGGCATAAACCCGCAACTTTAACAAACTCTACAAGAGAGTAGCAGGGTTAAATCATATGATCTTTCTGGACAATTGACATTTCTGGAGGGTATGGACCAATAATGCGTCTTGCTCAAAATTCTGTGATTGTTTAATATCACCATCAAAAAACCGCGTCTACCGCCGTGTCTGAACGTAGCCTTAGATCCTAGGTGATTTGGATTCTGTATGGGTGTACACGTAAGTTCTGATTGGATGATGGCATCGGAGGTCCTGCATATATACACGAACTGTGACGAACTTCTCGGCCGACGTGGGGCGCTACTTTGGCGTATGGTTTTTAAAATGGCTAAGGCAAGTATGATTAAAATTTTAAGGATGTGGTGTACTCTGTATTTTTAAGGAAGCTTTGGGTATTGGAGGAGAACATGCATAAACAGATTTGTTAAAAAAGCAAAGTGCATAAATCTTGGGTAAAAAAATTGCAAATTGGCTGGTCAAATTAATTTTTTTATCGCAAGCAGAATTTAAAGATCCACTCAAACCGACGCGGAAATGCGGGAAGGGAGGTGGGAGCGTGACGGACGCGTATTACCATTGATTAAGATAAATTGAAAATCACCCCCTGGTTTTTTTCCAAATTAAATTCGTGTAATAGTTGAACCACTTCCTATGAGATGTCGCAACGTACGTAACTACATTCATAAGTACATTTTAATTTATGCACTTAATAGCCACGTCCGACTCAATTTTCCTTAAAGGGCAGTTGAAAATGTGCAATTTCATGTAGGATTTGTAGAGCAATTGTACTTCAATAATCGACTACACCAAAATTTCTTATTAATTTTGGTGCGTAGAATCCAAAACGCTTCGTACTTTTTCGATTAGACTTCTCAATCAAAGGTTATGGACTAAAAACCAATTTCGAAACAAAATTCAAAGGGCTGTAACTTTTGATCTAGTAGCCCAATCTTGGAACTGTTTGAAATTATGGATTCTACAGGCCACATTCTATAAGAAAATTTTGTTCCGGGTCGATCTGAGACCATTTTTTTTTCGGGGCTCAAAAGAAGGCAGTGTATAACCTTCCTTTGAAACTTGAAACTTTGACATATGCCTGGCGTCGCCGCCTCTCCCAGGATTTAGTCAACTGTCGTGAGGATGCGTCCCTGGTAGACACTATCAGGGACGTTTCTCCACTACTTTGTTGCCATCGCGCTGGGCCGCGACATATGCCAAACAATGTGGTGGATTTTGTGGATTGGGGGGGTTGTGGGGGGCGGCTAACTGGGTGTTATCCGACCCGAACGGGTACGGCCACAGCTTCGCCACTGGTATTCTGCCTTAGAGGGAACTCTGCTTTCTAGTGACAGCTTCTTCCCCGGGCGTTCATTGGCTTCCGATGTTCCTATCCTTTGGTCTCGTTCCCTTCCCTGTTTTCCCTCGTGTTAGGCTCTTTTTATTGTTGTTCTCTCCCCGCATTACTTTCTGTCCCCTTTTCCTCCTCCCCTTGGCTACTTGTCCTTGTGGCTGATTATTCCTCCACCTCCAGTATTCTTCTGCTTTCTTTCTTCCTTTGATGTTTGTCTCTGCTATTCTCTTCCCATCTTCCCATGGTAATTCCCGAGACCTCTACCGTTTGGTTTATGGTGGTGTTCCATGTTTGGCAGGGTCGGCCTACGTTCCATTCCGAGGCACATAGAATCTTGGCAGCCCGAATGATATGGTCTTTGTTCCTCCTGTTGGTATGTCCCCAGTATCTCATCTGCCTCATCTTCAGTCTCCTGGCAAACGTCTTTTCCTCTAATAGTTCTCTTCTCTGCTTTGTTGTGAGGTTGCTGTTTTCTTCAGTATCCTGAGTGCCTTCCACTCCGCCCTCCCCAATGTTCGTCTGTTGCTCTTTGTTGGCGCTGAAGTGTTAATTCCGTATAAGATTGTCGGTGCTACGATCGTGTTGTAAATCATCATTTCAAGCTGTCCGGTATTTTCTTCGCTCGTTTTACCAAAAATCGAATACACCAAAATTTCTCGGGAAAACACTTTTTCTTATTAATTTTGGTGCGTAGAATCCAAAACAATTCGTACTTTTTCGATCAGACTTTTCAATCAAAAGTTATAGACTAGAAACCAATTTCGAAAGAAAATTCAAAGGGCTGTAACTTTTGAACTAGTAGCCCAATCTTAGAACTGTTTGAAATTATGGATTCTACAGGCCAAATTCAACTGATTTGCTCGATTTATTTCATTAATATCTCAGCTCTTTTGGGATACATAGGTACTTACCCATCAAAAGATCTTTTCTAATTCATCTTCACTTTTTAGGCGGTCTCAAGCAGTACCTATCTCCATCGCTAGCTATCTGAAACGACGACACTTTTCCGATGCGAAGACTGAAGGAACTAATCACCTCTGCAGTTGTCAACAGAGACCAACATTCTTAGGTAGGACAAAGAAATCCTGTCTACACGTTTACTAGATAATCTTATTGTTGTAGGGATGAGTACCTACTATTCACCATCACCACTTCGAATTCGGCGCTGTCATCATCATCATTCCGGTCCATCCGTCATCCAGATTTACTCTAAGGTAGCTACTAGTAGTCAATCAAAGTAAATGACTATGGTGTTTCACTAGTAACTTCAATTTCCATTTGTGCATGCATAGGTTTAAAATTGAGAACAAAATATACGTATTAAGTTATTTATTTTTTAAGTTATCACTGCTACAAGAAGATCTTTGTAATACAAAAAATGAAACTTATTTCCTTTGTTCATCTCTAGAATAATATTGTACTGCCTTGACTGCACTTTGCCGGTAGCTGGATAATGTATCTATTGAAAAATAGAATAAAAAAGTTTAAAATTTCTTTGTTTTTTTTTAAACATTCCTTTTGACATCTTTTTAGAATTCAAAAAACTTTTTTGAATCACTTTTTTGAATCACTCCTAACTTTTTGAATCAGTTTTTTGAATCATTCCTAAATTTTTTGAATCACTTTTTTGAATTTCTCTTAAAATCTCTTATAAACTTCTCTCTCTTGATGCTTGACACTTGATATACTTTTCTCGTAAAATTTCGGCCATAAGTTATGAATTCCATTTGGTATTGGTACGCAAAACGAATTTATGACAACTCACCAGAAAATTTCTGTTTATCCATAATGCCGAATACTATATTATGGTGGGTGGTGCTCGCCCCTTGGTTCATTTCAGTGGAGGATCGACTGTGGTACTTAAGGTCCCTGGTTGACATCAGGACCACGCATGAATATTTCTTTGTATTAGCGGGTTGGATGATACGGAGGCTTTGGCTGAAATTCGGTCCACTTAGAAAACAGACAATATAATTAGATGTTAATTTCTCTTACCTTTTCCATATTTCTCATAATGTGTCAATTCAAAGAACATTTGGTTTTAGCAGCAGGTTGAAGTAGTGTAGTCGTTTTTGGATGGATGCAATGGTTATTTGTTCACGCAACGTGGCCAGTACTGCTAAAACAATAAATCCGGTTACATATAAGCAATTATATTGTTGTATGGTGGGTAAGTGTCCAGGAATAGGGAAGTGTCAAAGAAGTAAACCACACGAGGCAGACCAAAGTCATTTAAGGAAAATGGTATTTAAGTTTAGAGCTGAACGAGGAAATAAGGGAGAACGTCGATTAGAATTTAGAGGTGAGATTTGGGAAAATAATAGGAAAGAAATAATTATAGGAAATTAAATAAAAAAGAAGAAAAAGTTCAATGAGAAAGACATTGGAAGAAATCTACGCAAAGGAGGAATTCCTTAAGTTCTTTCATGAGCTTGGAATTCAACTTTTCTAGCAAGACAATGCTCGTTATCATACAGCAATACCTACTTAACTCAAGAGGCTCCTATACTGACTCCACCTTCAGGAAGATCGTTGTCTGGGGCTATCACCTTCCCTTTGACGGTACCCACTTCCGACGTTGCTTTCACCCGCAATTCGCGTTTGAAGATTT